TTAGATATTTGAAGGAAAGGTGTGGTTCTCATTGCTGATTAAATTTCAGGAAGGCAATATTAACTACGTTTTCTTACTGCTGGTTTGATAAACTTTCAAAGTACTGCTTTGAACTCCAGTGAAATTTTTAAAAAATAGTAGTATGACCATTTAGCAGTAGCTTACCTGAGTTCAGTATCAAGTTAAGTGCTTGTAAAGAGCATTTTTCAGTGATATAATGAGTTAAAAACTTGGTGGTGCCCTTTGGAGAGCTGTGGATCTCATGTTAGCATGGAACTTCTAATTACTTGAAGTGAGTCTCAGAATTATGATACATGACAGTCTTCCTTTTGAGAGCTAATAATAGTTGGAGAAATAAGGTCTTAACTAGTTTGTCATTCTCGAGACTTCTAGTTCATAAACTTCATTATGATGTTAAATGCTTTCCAAGTATATTTGTTCCAAGTGTGTATTTGAGGCAGCATAACTGGTACATTGCAGTTGCCATGATATAACAACTTTTCCACAGTTGTTTTCAGAGCATTTGAGATGAATGCTGTGGTAGTTGGGCAAAGAGCATGGGCTGGAAAGTCAAGTAGTTAAAAAGACCTGCCTGGCTGTGTTGCTGTCTCTCCTCTGTCTTTTCTTTCCCAGCTTCTGAATAAACAACTTTGTAGCAAAATGAGAGTTCTGAAGTCCATCAAAAATGAATGGTTCTTTCTGCTGGATGGTACTGAATTTTGAAGGTCAGCAGGTCTAGTAAGTTTTGTTACAGAATGAAAGACCAGCAGTTGTTTAGCTTGGCAATTCAAAAACTGGCTCTTGCCGAAATGAAGGGCCCAACAGTAATGCTGATGCTCTGCTCTGAACGAGATTGGGAAGTCCATTTGCTAAAGCTGATACATCAATGGAAACATTTCTGTTTGACACAAACAGCAGCAGGTGCTCCGTTTCCAAGTGGTGCATGCAAATACTTGTACTCCCAAGCATCRCTGAAGCGGTTTCTCTTTGAAGATGTATCTGTGTGCTATTTTGGCATGTTCCTCCCATTGCGTGGCCTTTAATGACTTTCTATACTTTGTGAAAAGATGTTCAGAGAGATCTGACTTAAATCTAAGTTCTGGTAGATACTTCATCTGCATATTTTTGCAGAATCTTTGTATTTATGTTCTCAGAGGATTAATGGCTCTACCAATTTAGTTTGAACATCTTCCATTCACTTTCCAAAAATATGTCACAAAAGAGCAAAAATMGAACCTTTTTTACTGTATTGCCCTTTGGAAGAATAAATGATACTCTAGTGTGAAACTGAAGTTTAAGATGAGGCTTTCGAAGTGGAAGTACAGTGTAAATAATTCTTCCCAGTCATCTTTCTGACATCCATCTTCACTGCTGAAGCAAAATGACCCCCCCAGTTCAGATAGCTGTGCTCATGCAGGAAAAGAATGGAGCGGTTGAGAACGTCACTTAATCATTTGGAGTCCAGCAGACAGTCCCACCAATCAGGTTGCCATTGTGCTTGATAAGGGGGCTTGCCTGAACACTAACACATTATGGTTGTCTTGTCTTTGAGCATTAGAAATTCTRTCTGCTTGCTGGAATAGTGCTTATTCATTGGATATTTGTACAGATGGTGAATATTGTTACTAACGGGTACAAATCTTCAGGCAGATCAAAGAGGTGACAGAGATTTAGAAATAAAATTTTGTGCTCAATGAGTTAAAAATATTGACAATAACATGACATTTAGAAGTGCCAGAAGTCAATCTTAATCCATGAAGATGTATGATCCAAGGTGTCTGTAGGCTGATTCAGTGTATGCTATGGTCATCTCWACTGTGTAAGGTTTATTTTTAGGGTAAGTATAGTCTTGATGCCTTGGGGTAGGCTACAGAGARTGGGCCTTTGATTAGCAGTGAGGAAGACAGCATTTTTGGTCATCAAAAAAGGTAAAATCTTGCTGATTAAATTATTTGAACCACTGAGTGCTTTACAGTAATTTAGTTCTTTGAGACACATTTGCSTTCCTGCTTACAAATTTGCTGTCTGTGTCAGTTGATATAGAAGCTGAAGCATTAAAAYTGGTCTTTCTGTTTGCTGGGTTTGAGTACTGGAATCTGGGCAGTATATCTTAAAGAACCACATGGGCGTACATTAAATTACTTCKCTCCTGCCTTTGCATTTTTCTAGAGTACTGTAGGGGGTAGTATAATAAATGCATTGACAGTACTATTTGAAGTAGAAAAATAGGTGATAGACCATAACCTGCAGTACATAGTCTGTTACCTGTTTGCAGGGTAAGGTGGCACAAAGCAATCCATGTCTGGACAAGTGCAATATTATTTATTTATTTGTGACAAGTTGCAAAAAAGACTCATTACCATTAGCACCACAGTTCTAATAACTATCTGTACCTCTCTTATTTGCCTGGTCTAAAAGATTAARGGTCATACCAGTCAGCATCCACCACTGTCTGTTGGTGGAACTTGCTACAAAGTGTTTTCCTCTTACCTCTTTTATTTAACAAATTTCAATGAATGAGGTCTATTTAAGACCTCAGTCCTTTCAGCAAGTTAGCTGTAATTGTCCTACTCTTTGTGAAGTATTGTTAKTGGAGTTTATACAATAAATTGTCTCTATATTTCCTTAGAAAACCAAACTTTGAAAGGTAATTTTAAAAGGTTTCATTGTTCAGAGATTTCTACAAGGCGTTTGACTCCTTGCAGAGCAAAATCAATTGTTTGTATAAGCAACTGCTTTATGCTTTTAAAAATGTATACGTGTTTGATATACATGGATGTACTACTTTATACTGCTTTATCTAACAAATAGTATTTTACTTCAGGGAACAAGTAATATTTTAGAACCAACATGTCAGAAGGATTTATGTTTTCAGTAAAATTTTTGTATATTGTTTTCTTTCTTGGAGACTAATGCTCCAGTTTTACATGGGTCTTGTAGCTGCATGTGTGCTTAGGTTTCTCCTGTATTAGATTACAGAACTGTGCTGGACATGTCCAGAAATCTGTGATAGACAGGTGCAAATTGCAAGTTAGCACTAAATTACATCACTGATTGTGCCTAGTCAGTGATATGAAATGTTCCAGGCTACCGAAAATATATTCAGCTGAGATTTCCTGAAACTCAGGCAGATTTAATGAGAAAAATTGAAAACGTTAGTGAGAAATCAGCATAATTTCCTGGCTAATGAGTTGTATTTCTKCCTCTCCCATTGGGACAGGCACACTGCTATGAGAAATGCTGTGCAAACATATAGTGAGGAATTATTTGCATGGTTTATGATTTTCCAAGGAAATACAGAACAGAAGCTAAGACAACATAAAATTTCTGTACAGGGAGTTCTTCCTTGTAGTCTTTACAACACCTGTTATTATTGGACCCCATTTGGAGCTAGGTCTTTGGTCACATCTATAATTAAGTAATAAGCTTATTTTGGAAAAAAAACATCTACAACTTCAAGTGTAATGCTTTCTTTTTTGTTTTAGCATGATAAATATTTTTTARAAGTGTGACTTATGAGTTCAGAGTCTTAGCAAATCACTTGTACCAATCACAGGGATAGGAGTTATTAATCTCTATAGAGTTCTTTGAGTTCATTCAGTTTGTTCTGTAGATAGATGCATATCAGCAGTTCTGCCTTTTTACCCTTCCACATAATTTTTCTTTTCTTCATTTTCTTTCTTTTAGAATTCAATAGCCAACCTTATTTTTCTGTTCTGTTTCCTAACATGGCTTGATTTCTTATCTTTTGAACATACATATTTTCAGTCTGTTGTGTGTCTGTGAGATAGTGTTCATGTTGGACAACCGAAAAAACGGATGATTGTGTTTGCCACCAGGTTGGCTTTTATGTGAAGTTCTCAAAGGCATGTGATGACTCTTTGTGGTATTGAGGGCTTGATTGTCCTCAGTGTAAGAAAGACATGTGGTTTACAGGGAAAGGCCATAGGAGTTTCTAGTGTGCACCCCCACAAAAAAAAAAACAAAAACAAAACAAAACAAAAAAAAACAAACAACCCTTATTTCCTTGAAGAACAAATGTTCTGAACTGTCAAAATGGAGGTGTGATTGTGCAGGTGATCCTCTAATGCTAGGGTTAACAAGTAACATTAATGGAAGCCTTAGGAAGGGGCAGAAGATGGTCAAAGTACAGTAAAGCCAAGGTGTGAGGCTGGGTTAAGCCATGCTTTGCAGACTTTGTGATGCCAGTGTTGTGTAGTAGTTTTTAGCTATTAGAGGACCCGTTCACCACCTTGTGGGAGACTTCCAGGGTTATAACTATCTCAGTAGCTGAATATGTATGCAACATGTGTCTCATGTAGGTAAGAAATACAGCTTATGTGAGAGTATCTCAGTGTTGTGCATGGATAGCTCAATGACTGTTCTGAACTTTTGTCATCAAATATGAAACTACTTGCTGGCTTTCTCTGAAATACCTTTATGTATAATATCTCAGTGATACCTTTCTTTGCCTATGGAAAATACTGGGCAGAATGAAAGTAGTGTGTGCCAAGGCATCCTTGGCACCTGTAATGTTGTAATTTCAGTTCTTTTAGTTCTTTTACCTTTGGAAGATGGAAATATTCCATTCCATARGTAAAAGTAAATATATAAACCAAAAACTKCAAGTATTTGTTTCAAGTATGGTGTTGTAGAAGACCATGAGAAGCACTTTTTGCATCTSCATAATCTCATTCTATGTCTYTTTTTAGGGTGAGGAATGACTGAGGAACACTGAAAAGAAATATATAGGGATAGTTTTTCCACGCTCTGATCCTGCTTTTCGTAATTTTTTCACTACCAATTCCCATCCTTCCTTTATCCCGCCTTAAAACAAAATCAGTAGATATATATACTTGAAAGATGCATTTTGCATGAAAGACACAAAATTTCTAAAACTAATTTTAAGAGTTAAAATGGAAATGGTTAATTAAYACTTTATTTTCATTTCAGTTTAAAAATTATTCACTTCTTACTTAAAATACACTTCTTTTTTTCAGAGGCGTGGAGCAATTTCCTATGACAGCTCTGATCAGACTGCGTTGTACATTCGTATGCTAGGTAAGCATACCAGTTTCTGTATTGCAAGTTCCAGCATTTATGACTGATTTAAATAATAACTTTCTTATATCTCTGTTGAATTCATAAACTTAACATTCTCTTTCTCCCGGGTAATATTTTGATTAGAAGCTTTAGAAGATTTTGRATTCTTTTGTGTCGACTTGGGTTTTTTGGTCGTTTGCCTAGTTTCTTTTTTCCTGAGTTAGACATTGTGTAGGATGTTTTRCTCCTATATTAAAAAATAGGAAAGTTCTCATAATTAACCTAATGTGGCTGGTAGAASTAAAGTCTTCTAAGTGACTCATGATTGATCTTTCTTTCTGTCATGGAATTTGCCACTCTGCATGGTATCCTTCTAGTTAAAGGATAGAGAACACCTGTTTAGTTCGAGAACACSTGTTTAAGAGTTACCACACACACTTGGAAACTTCAGTACTGAGGCTATGAAATGTGCTAGGTGTTCTTGAAATAATTATATGATTTTAAACAGTGTTTTTCTCATTAATCTTAGAAGGTGACTTGAGAAGGGTAAGGACACGTGACAGGGCTAAGTAGTTMAGTTTACTTACTGAGGAATGCTTCCAGAGTAGCAAGTAGATAAAGGGTAAACCCAAAATCAAACTAMAGAATGGTACTGGGAGGGGAAAGCATCCAGGGTAGATCCTCTGTGAGACTGAGTGCACTGAATGAGTTGAGGTCACTTGTTGAGACGAGAAAGATGCAAAGCTCTTGCAGATCTGGCTGCCAGATTCAGTATTTCCCACACCTCTCCTGGAGGCTGCTGGTGGTGCAGATGGCATGGGGACTGTATATGCGCTCTGTTTCATTGCTAAATGATGCCACTTAATTTAAGCCATCTTGAGCTATGAATTTGTGTTGAAATGGACTATGAATGCTTGCATGATGTCTCACACAGCTCAATGAACACCAACAGCTACTCATTTCAAATTCTTAACCATCTCCAACTAAATCAGCCAAAACATGCCTTTTTATGCCCTGAGTCTTTTCAGTTTAGTGGTATATTGTACATGTTAAAGTCCCCAGAAATTCATAACTGCATTGTCTATGAATTTAAAGTTGCAAGCTATATGCGTGTGTGTATATGAATTTATAGGTCTAACCTACATATACAGGAATATATGGTCATATATACACATAAATGCAATTTTGACTTAGCAGCTTCACTTTTTTTTCAATTATTTTGCTATTTTACATTAGTGGAGTTATTAATATTAGAGCACTGACTGCTGAAGAAGTTTTTATCAGATTTTAATTTGGGGATTTGCTCAGAGCAGAACAGAAGATGCTGGCTTCTAAATGTTTGTTGAAAAAACTGCTTTTTTGTTGTTGTTGGAAATAGTTTTATATTGTTTTCAAAAGTTAAAATGAAGTAGTTAGGCCCATCATTTCTGCAGAAGGATTTGTGATAATGCTCAAGTAATTCTAGAGGGAAGCAAAGTATGACTTCCTGCAGTTTTTGGTATWTACATCTGAATGGAGAGAAAAATCTGATTTGTCTTGAAAATCTTCCATTATTCTCATAGATAGAACTGGAAAATATTCAGAACATGATGTTAAGTAAATTAATTTTTCAGTTGTTCTCTCATTGGAATTAATTGCATTATGAGATTGGTACTTGTTATGAATAGCATAACTCTTGCTGGCGTAATTCATTCGTGCTATTCTGCTATTCAGAAGCAGTAATCTTTTAAAAGGATTGACTTCTAATTTAGATGGGGGAGGAGGGTAYTGACAAGCAAACACAAGATTGCTCATGGGATGTTTGAATCATTATGTGATAAATATGTAGTATTTTCTCACTTAATAGAGATCATGTTATGTACACTATACTGTACAAGTYAGTGACTATTTACATATTTATTACTTTTGAACTTGCAAATGGACTGTAAAAAGACCAGCCTGAAAGCTGAACAGTTGGACTCATCGGTATGTAGAAAGATTAATATCAGAGTAGATTCAAGGATTAATATATTCCATTAGAATTTTTTACAAGAAATGTGAAGCATTGTATTTCCTACAGTATTGTGAGAGTTTTGTTTTTGTTTTATTTATCTTAGTACACTTGAGCAGAATAAGCTATAAGAAATCCTCAGSTATAACTTAATGGTAAGTTAGGCACAGTAGTGAGAAAATTTGCCATTTACTTGGTTAATTTTATTCAATACAGACTATATCTACTAATAAAATGGACCTTGGTAAGGTGTTTTTCTTAGTAGACCAAAAATATAAGGCTAAAGTTGTCTATGGTAAGTCCTTCTGCTTTGTTTAGTTGTGCTGGTCATAAATGCCAGCACATTCAATGCTTTCAGGCTGTTCCAATGGTGATCCAATGGAAATTCAYTTGCACCAAGTAAATAGGGATTCCTGTGGTGTAGCAGTGTGTCCAGGTTCAATTTGAAAACTCATATTTTAGGGGTATACTAAGTAAAAAACTAACTCCTCACTGCCTTCATCAGTGTGTCGATATAAACAAGCAGCATTGACTGTAATGACTCATCTGTCATACCCCATTCCCAAAATATACAATAAGCCACTCCCGAGTGGCTTATTTACTATTTTAAAATATAGATACAGATGCAGCATTGTAGAATTTTTCTTTTAAGACCTTGGAAAGGCTAATACATCTGCATCGCCTCAGCCACTTTTCACAGCAACTATGAGGAATTCTCAAAATATCTTGTAAGTGTTTCTGTGTAATCTTGATAATTTCTTGGTTTTCCTCTTTTTTGCTTTTCTGGTTTCTTTCTCTTGTTRCTTTATATTGACTGAATTTCTGCTGTGCATGGGGTAGAAAGTGTGGAGCACTGACTGCTTGTATTGGTGAGCATGCGCCTCTCAACTACAACTGGAACATTTTTACCCTCCTTTAGAGGTCTTGATCACTTCAAATAGGAATAATTGGAGAAAAGCTACTGTGTAATGCAGGTGCACACTCTTCTCTGGTAGTGGTTTTTATGTTGTACTCTGCTTTAATTCTGGCACATTCAGCTGACCTGTCATCTGTTTCTCCAATAAATTTAATAGTAATTTTAATCTGGGAAGTAGTAATTCTGTCTGAAAATCCTGCTGTTTACAACCTCATGGCTTTGACTGGAGTGCTTTACCTTGAGGTGGTAGTTTCTGCTCCCAGCTGTCCTCCATGATCTCTGAGGTTTCTGCCCCTGCTCCCGATGGCCTCAGCTCTCCAAGCAGCTGCTGCATTGTTACTGTGCCACACTGCAGCATTAGGTTAGCACCAAGTATGTGCTGTGTAACCCTAACGCCCAGGGATGTCAGCTGTGGCATTTCAACTGCCTCGTAAGTATCAGAGCTGTCCTTGTGGTGTGAGSAGGAATCTGAGAGAGGGGCAGGAACTAAACAATCTGTTTCAAGCAAGGTAAGTTGTGTTACAGCCCTAATTTCTTTTCARTTTTCAGTTATAGCTGCAAACCTCCCTCTTACGTTCTTTCTGCCATGATTTATGTAGTCTTCAATTAAATGTCTGCCAGTATGATCTTTGTCTTAAAAATGCAAGCAATCCTGTTCATGCAGGAGTATTCKGGGAAAAGATGTAGCAAAATACTCAGCCATCTGATATTGTATCTTTTTTGTACACAAAATAAGGTTTCGAAAGGAAGGCTTCATGTTTTGTAAATCTTCCTCTTGATTCTTTGGAATCACCAAAAATCTCATAGAGGTAATAAATTATTTCTGGAAGTCTAATATCATTAAGATGCTGGACTTGAGTGTGTTCCTTTAAGGTAACACAGGAGTCTTTCCAGAATASCTAAAAGTGGCTAAAGAAGAAACACTTCAGGTAAAAGCAGTCASTCAGCTTGCTGCCACTACTGTGCCCTCCCCCAAGGAAGTTTACCTATAAGCAGACTGTGTCATCTGATGGTTTAAAAAAATTATGTAAGCATTTCGGTATGTTTATAAAGGTCTRAAAAATGAAAACTATTCATAAGTTCTTCACTTTTAAGTGTTGAATTTTAGTTGTCTTTCAGCTACTACATAGTAATAATTGGCTCTGAGGTTGGATTTCTGTTGCTATTTGAAATAATTATGTAACAGTGTCCTTTTGTTTGATAAAAGTAATCTCAAATCTGAGATATCTTGTGCCTTTTTGTAAAGATCCCTATGAAGATAAACATATCTCTTCCTTAAAATTAAATTCTGCATAATTTCAGAGTCACAGGCTTGCAAAACACTTGTGCAGGATTTCCCAAGCAAATTGATGTGAACATRCGAAAGTACAATGAAGTGGGTGCATTTGGGATCCATTAATCTTCTGCAGGTTACGTTAGCCAAGCAGTGAATTCATAATGATGATCCAGTATTTCTGGTCGTTTTGGAGATAACTAAACATATGCACTAGAGATTAGTTTCGCTGTGCTAATAGCACATAGTTTCATAATGTGCAGCCAGTTATTCCTTTTTCTGCTTCTGTATATTTAGAAACTTATGATGRATGTATGGTATCATCAAATTCCACTTGTATCAATATTTTTCAAGCACATTTATTGTCTGAAATCTTGCAAAATACAGCAGTTCTRTACCATGGTAATGGAGACAGCTCTTCTGCCTTTGTTCTGGCACAAGAGAATTTTCTACTTTGTTTGCTGTAATAAATTCCAGTCCCATAGAAGGGATATATTTTTCCAGAACAAATACAATTGTATTCTAAAAAAAGGCATCCATTGTTGAGATTTTTTTTTAATAGCTTCTTCTACCATGATTAGGGAGAGAGAATTTTGTTCAATAACTGTGTAATGAAAATATTTAGCTTTCCTTGCTGGGAATTTCTCATTTTATATGTATGTAAGTAAATACACTCATTTTAGCTTTATCTTATTACATTTGCCTTTCCCTTAGTTTGCCATGTGCCTTTTTAGTATACAATTCTTTCTTTGACTAAATATTGCTGTAATGTTCTGATGATTTCTGTGTAAAGCAATGTAGTTCGTTGCACTTCTTCATTTCACTTGTAGATGGTTTTTGATATCCTCCCTAAAATCCACAACATCACAGGCATTTCAAGGGTAACAGGGATARTATTATTCTGTCTATGCTGTTGGACAAGGGTACTAGTGAATGAAAAAGATCAAGGCGGAGAGAAATTTGCTGGACTTCAGTTATCAGATGAACCTGCTCRTTTTATTATTTGCAGAATTCCATGTTGGTTTGCAGGTATTTTCCTGTGAACTTTTATATTCTTGACACTTAGAACAAAAAGTTCACCAAAACCTAGTTATACACTGACTTAAACTATTTGCTAATTTGCACTGTGGTTTGTAAATTCTAAAGGTAAAGAACAACATTGAAAACTAAAAATAAATCACAAAAGCTGTATCACCTTTACTGTAAAAAATTAACTCCACTGAAAAACCTCTTTTATTTTTCTTCTAATTTAGCTGGTGAACTCATTCACACAGCTGTAGCTATGCCTGATTACCCAGATAAATATGAGTGAAAGGTAATGAAAGTTGAATTTTCCTCCATGTAAAGTGTTAATTTCATATACAGCCTCTAATGCATTCACCTTCTCTCTTCCAAAGTTTCTTCTCTTTTTCATTTTTATTAGTTTATTTTGTAAATAAAATTCACCAGTTGCTTTTGCCTAACAGAAGAGTTCTACAATTTGCTGCCTCTGTATTGCCTGGAAGGACACAAGTCTCTTGCACTGTGCTCAAATGAATGCTTGAAGCCCTTTCATAAGTAATATATTGTAAGTGGTCTGAAAAATAATAATTGTAGATAGTAATTGGGTTGCTTTCCCTTGCAGCTTAGTTAAAGTTTTCAGTTTAAAAAAATGAAAGGATTAATAACTGAAAGGCACGTGTATTTAGTGTGTTTTTACTGCTATGTAAGCTTTAGGGGAGCCCTGGGCCTATCTACCCTTTTGTGGTCCTTCCAGCATGCCTCATGAGATAACATTCATGTAAAGTGCGTCACTGTAGATGTGTCAGTGTTTGTAGATATGAATCTCTAGAAAGATACTGTTAAGTATTAAAAACATATTACTTTTGTAACGTGTGAGTCTGTGTCTTCAGCTATTTTCTGACGAGTTGCCTGCTTCAGCATTAGCAGAACAAGATTAGCAAGGTWGGAAAGGAAAGAAAGGAAGAAAGGAAAGAAATGCTCTCAAGATGACTGTGACTTGATGAAAATTRAATAGCTATATTTTTATTTATTTCATATAAACTTATAGTTCTTTTTGTTAATTACTTATTTTGGTTTCATATGAAAAGTGTTATGTTTGAAGTGAGGAGAATGCGACACTTGAAGGATTTTCATAATTAGAAACCACAACATTTGCACATCTTAAATTTATCTTTGTTAGGGTTTGAGGAGGGAGACACAGTTGCATTGGATTCTTGAAGATTTCTCCAAATTTGTAATAGTATAAGGATTTTAAGTGAAAGCTTTTAATCCAGGTGAACTGCTTCTATTAATACATACAAATATCTAACGAAAGAATACTGATCAGCTTTCAGTTGGTAAAATGCATAAGTAGAAGTCAACTAGCATACTAAAAGATTCAGGTTGAAGCTTATTACAGTGCAAAATAGTTTGATAAAATTTTAATACTGAGTTTTGGTATTTTAATAGGCTCTTGTGTAATATTCAAACAGCTGAGCGCAAGTAAGTAAATGCTAGTGGGAAAATATTATATAAGACCATATTGTAACTAGCTTATTTGCTAAAAGCTACCATTTCTAGAAGTTGGATCTTTTTTGTATTCTACAAAATGTTATTGTTGTATGTGTGTTACTGAGGAACAAATCGACTTTAAATGTTCTTGTTTTCTGTCATATTAAGGTGCATTTTTGCCATACTGGTGTAGCAAGCTCTTCCTAATTTCATCTGAATGCTTATCACATGCTTCTGGCAACGTATGCTTAGGCAGGAGAGATTTGGACAAGAAAGCATGTGATTGCATGTTTAACAAGTCTTCAAACTTTGTTTTGAATTTCACCTTTAAAACAAAAAGCATTGAAGTAGGCCTATTGTTTGAATTACTCTCCTCCATTAAGTACATGAATCTTTACCCCTCCAGGCTATGTTCATTTGCATTTTATCTCTGCCACTCTTCCACACTTTTATTTCACTCTTGACCCTGTTTCTAGGAGATGTGCGAGTAAGAAGTCGGGCAGGATTTGAAACAGAGAGAAGAGGTTCTCATCCATACATTGATTTCCGTATTTTTCACTGTAAGTATTTAAAAGCAGATAAATGACAAATAAACAAGGGCTTCCATCAATTTTAACTACTGAGCCTCCAAAATAAAGTTAGCAGCTCTTATAGCAAGACCATTTTTTCTATACTTCTTAGGAAAATATTTCATTCTAGCTCATTACCAAAAATAGAAGAGGAAAATATTCACTGCTAAATACTTCTAAAAAAACCCAGTAATTGTAAACTCATTGAATTTAGACCTGAATCCATGTGGAAATGAAGACTCGTCTTCTAAACAGCTACTGATATGTGTGCCCTGTGCTTACTTGGCAGATGCAATCAGTCGAGGAGAATACTTTTCTGTTTTTATAAAGCAGTATAAAGGTCCTGTCCAGGCTGATGCTTGAACAGAATTACAGTAATATCAGTGTTCTTGACCTCATCATAACRGATTAACATTGCATCTACTCAAATATATAGCTAGGGCTTAATTTTTTGGACATAGACAAATCTTACAGAAAGATTAAAGTGTTAGGAGAAAACAGCAGCCTAACATTTTAATCTTTTTTTTCTTTCATTAGTATTAGAAGAAGAATATTTTCAGGAGAAAAAAGTAAAATTATCCATCTGTATTGCTGTAACTAAATTTATCAGTGGCTGTGGTAATACAAAGTTTCAATAACTACCAAACCAATATGCAGCAAAAGTGCAGTGAATTATGCCAATAGTGAATGTGYTAAGTGTCATAAAGGATTTATACCAACATTGTATCAGCCCAATTCCAAGTATTCTGAATGCAATGGAGAGATAGTAAAGCCGATTTCATGGTGACAAGTGTGGTTGTTGTAATTACCTTATTAATAAAAATGAGTGGCAGAAACTGGTCTTAGGCTCTGATCTTAACTGAAGTTATTCTTTTTCAAAGCAGATCGTATCTAAAACTCTTGAACTCTTATTTTCACTTAAAAGTTTCATAAAAATAGGTGAGAAAACAAAGTTTGAAGAGTGTGCTATGTAGATTATTTTCAATAAAGAGGGTAAGAATTTCATTTCAAGTCCAGACTGAGTATAATAAATTCTCTGTAGAAACAGCATGCATTTATGAARTATGTAAGTATGTCTTTTTGTGTATATGTATATGTGACATTTCATGCTGATATGGGAAAATACTAACAGAAGTATTAAAAGATCTGCCCATTAAAAGGCAGACAACGTATGATATTGTTGTTGTCAAATTAACTATTTTCTATGTCCTCTATGATTTCTTTCTATCCTGATGATTGTGTATCAGGCAATTCGTGACTTATCAGGAAAAGGACTTTGACACCCTTTCTCCTTGCCCCTACTTGTTCAGACACAGCCRCCAGCTTTTAGCAACATCACCTGCGGTGTCTGATGACAGCAAAAAWATGTTGCTAGGAGGCCCAAAAAATTCCTTGTCTTTAACTTCCTTCTCAAGTCAGCTGCTATAGCAGTTTTCAGAGTTGCCATACCATAGTCAGATTTTTTGCACTTCAGGACTGTAGCTTRTTGAAGGATTGCTCTTTGAGCCCTTCAGGTGCCTGCTACATTGTGGAGTTTCTTTCAAAGTCAGGAATTCAGTGCCATTGCTCACTATATCAGTAAATTATCTAATAATTTACAGAAATATGGGTTCTTTTTTATCAGTAAAATGTTTTCTTCTCTCTGCAATGCTAATTGAGTCCTGATCAATGTTTCCTTGGTTGTTTTAAGCAAAAGAGATTTAGTAATGCTGAAATAATTAAATTTAGTAATGCTAAATAATGCTATGAGACTGCAAGTAGAGAGAAGTCACAGGAATCAGACTTGACCTAATTTTAAGGATATTCTCCCTGCCCTCTCCTGCGAACTCCAGAAGGAGTTGATTTTGCCATATAGAGCTAAATGTCTGAAAAAATACTCACACATGTGAGCAACAGTATGAGAGAGGAGTCAGTAAGCTCTTCTTTTCTTGGGACAAATGCTGAACTGAAAAGGGTCTCTTCTGCAGCTGAAGCAGACTACACCATTGGAATGTTGCCTTTTTTTTTTTTTAACTCCCCATCACAGCTGTATCCTGATCATCAGTAATGTGTGGACATGCTTCCTTCATTGTGTTTGTGTAGTTTCACTGTAACTTTCTTCTAAGTATCCACTACCTTTGTTTTGTGGTTCTAAAAATTTTGCAATGATCATTGCTTATGTGTTTTGCAGATGACCTATATAGTGGCTGTTAGTGACAGTGCTGAAGCATTATTGCTGTTTTGTGTTTTGCTTAAGCTAACTTCAGTTGTTCAGCATTGTTTTCTTTTTCTGTCAATGATGTTTTGAGAAGAAGTTGAATGTCTTTCAGGAGGTTTAGCTAATAATATGCTGACCAGTCTCTTCTAATTTTTTATTGATAARCTCTTAACCCATTATTTTACTGGTAGGTTGGAAAAGTAATGAATTTTAAATACATTACTTTGCTTCATAACACTATTTTAACTTGCAACTTCAACTAGTATTGCAGAAGGAGAGTTTGTGAGCACTTAATTCTAAAGATCACTTCTGTATCTTCTTAGGCATTATAAGCTCAGCATCTGTTTCTTCATCCCAGAATTCTTTAATTGATTCATGAACATTCCAAGTTTCTAACCTGTCTAGAAGTATTCTCAACAGTAACTTCTAGGAAATTTGATTTTAGGAAGATGGTTGGAAAAACTTTGTTGTTAAGAGACAGTGGAATGGGAGTAGTATCTGACGATTATTAAATGCAGGATTTGACTGATGATCAAGCTAAATTTGTTGGATGGTAGTTTGCCTTCTACATTATCTGTTATTCCAGAAGTCACCTTTTAATAGCTAATTGCAGGAACTACCAAGAAGAATAGCTTAATAAACAAATTTTTGTTTCAACAAGACTTCTTCCTGGTGAGTGGGGAAAGTCAGGGTTCTTTTTTTGTTGTTGGCTGGATATTGGTTAAGGCTGAATCATCAGTTAGTAGTTTTTCTATTACTGTGTTCTGTTAGTTATGCCTGTGTGGGGACCATGGGMATAAACTCAAGATAGCATCTCAAATCCACCATTTCTGGAAAGGAGAGAGCAGCCACACAACTTTCTTTCTCTGAATTCACTGTTACAGTAAAATGTATACACTGTAATGTTTTGTTGAATTGACTGTAGAACACTGGATCTACTTTTCACTCCATGGGAAACAAGAAGGAAGTTTTGCAGTTCACTGTGAGAGTGCAGCATGTACTGTTTAGTTTTTAGGGAAGTTGTTGGAAAAGTGATTGGCGTGGTTCACTCTTACATTTTTCAGGTTTACATGAATACTTTAAAATTTTCTTTATATTATGCAAGATATCATGGACAGTAATTCAGTCTTCAGTGTTGTCAGAGTATAAAAATATTCCCTTGTCTGAAATAGTAAACTAGCAATAAAGTTTTAGGTTTTGTTTTCTTGCTATCGAGAAGTTGTCAGTCATGTTTATTTTTTAATATACGTGTTTGTGTGTATATATACACACATGTAAAAAATCTTGGTTGAGGTGTTTCTARCAAGCAAAAACAAAGGCATGTATAATGGGCCCTAATCACTCACTGTTTCACCTGAAAAAAAACCCAAAATAATGAGTGTGCACARTGATATGTACAATATATTGCAGTGAGGAACTGAAGCCAAAATGAATAAAGATCAAATGAATAATTAAAATAACTRAAAAAACATTGAGAAGTGTCTTATGTAGATACAGCTGAAATAAATACTTTTAAGCTTCTCTTTTAGAAAAGGGTTGTTGAATATAGTCTGGAAGAACTATAGAAAAATAGAATAGTTTGGTTTTGCAGACAAGAAACATGTTTTTCTTCTTGCTTTTTCTGTTGTTCCTGGCCCAGAATAAGTAATATCTTGTCAAAAGGTTTTTAGAATTCTCCCCTGCCAGTCTCATCTGAGCATGTTTCTATGGGGAGATGATGATGCTGCCAACACATGGGGCTTGGTTTTGTGTTTTATAGACAACTGAATCTATCACATCTGTGAGTTAAAATTATCTTAGATAGAAGAACAGGGTTTAACTGAGTTAATCAGTATGTGTGAGGTAACATTTGGGAATGGCTCAATTTTGAAGAAGRTAGTTGATTGCGTACAGTATAATGCTTTTTGCATAGGAGGGAAAATAATGTGATGGAAACTTAAGCCTTCATTGAGACTTAAATGTCTTCTCTAAGATGTCTCCTCTTAGGTCCTCTAAGATGGAGCCTTTTTAGGGGGGAGTGGAAAGAAAGGAAGAGATATTTTCATAGGTGGTTGATAAATCTAATTCTCTTTCTTGAGAGTGGAATACGTGATGGAATTCCGGAGTTTACCTTTATTATACAACCTTCAGACTGTTTACATGGAAATTAGAGTTTGTGGAAAATGTTACATGCTACTCTGAGGTCTGGCAAATATGTCAACATGTACTGTTTGCAGTAATACTTTTAACTTTCTGGTTCTTAGCTCAGGAATCATTGAAAAAGGTTTACCTTGAACAGTGAATTTAGATTTTCTTTGTCTGAGAGGCCAGAACTGAAAGAAGAGAAATGAGTGCAGATTTAAATTGATTGCCTGAAACAATTTGGAAAATCCTTGTGTAGCAACAGTTAATGATGGTTTTGATGATACCATCTAGAGATTGAGATAAAATAACCATCGTCCAGATGAGTTTCAATGCCCTTTTTTGTTTCAAGAAAATAGAGGAGTTATCTATTTGATTATGTTTAACAGTAATWGTCTGTCTTGTTCAGCAGTCTACTGGGAAGAAGGGTGAGTTTCACAATGAATCAAGTCATGCAACAAGATTTCTGTGTGGGTCATAGCTTGAAGTATTTGTTTCCCTTTGAAAATACCATTACTGAGGAGTAAAAAGCTTGTGCCTGACAGATTTCTTCAAAAGCTGCCTTTCTGTGAATTATGCAATTCTGAAATTGTCTTCTAATTACTCACAATCCAGATTATTCAAGTAAATTGTGTTCCACRGTGTGAGAGAAATTTTGACTTTGATTTAGTTT